AAATGTTATTTCAAAGAACTTGAAATGTTTATAAATTGTGTGTATTGCTTTTAACTTAGCGGGTTTCAGTGATTAAGTATTGTTATACCCAAAGTATTATTGATCTTATTCTAAAAGGTTGGTCAAAGCATAGTTTAATGCTTGAAAGTTTGAAGCTTAGTGTCTCTAATAAGAATAATACAGTGCATCAATCGATGAATCCCTTGTATTAGCCCAAAGAGATTACTAGGCTATACAGGTATAATTAGCTCTTTCGCTGTACTAGGAAAAAAAAAAGTAAAACATTTGAAAGTGCTTTTCTGCCGTAGTGAAGCTGAGTATCAGAAGAGAGTCAGAACCTTAAGTATAAAATTCACGCGGGTCTCAGGTAAATCGGTAAATTGAAAAGTAATGAATGTAGAAATAGAGGTGAAAGTGACAAGATGATTACACCTTGCCTTCTTCCATGCAGCTTTAGCAAAGAGCGTCTGACAAAATATTTACAATTGCGATGAGATTGACTTTGTTAAGAGCAAGTAGTTCAGGAGACCTTCTACGGTACTGGCCCAGAATGATCGCACAGTCGCAGAAGTTCTGGTTGTTTAGCAGCGCTTGCCGAGCTTACGAGTGAGCCATGCGTCCAGCGCTAAAATGCAAGAGAATAGCGGAGTACCGATTGGCTTTCAATCCTATGAAATTCTGGTAACGGTGCTGTGCCTAGCAAGATCATCGGCTTTGCAGTTTTCGGTGATTTCGCTGTGACCTGGCACACACTTCGGACTGTGAAACCTAAAAAGATCGATTTGTGGAAGATTCAAAGGACTTTGTCTAGAGTTAGGAAAACGGTTCAAACTGGGTAGTCGGAGAGGTAATATTATTAGGAATTTTCATTTCTCAGTTCTTCAGTACTTCAGCTTTTGGTCTCAAGAATAGGGCTTCCTTATGCGATTTTGTAGATAATAATACTGAATTAAGGAGATTTAAGGATTTTTTAGTTCATGTTCGTATATTTTGGAATAAAAGAAAAGCATATGTTTTCAAAGAAGTTCGAAACGACCAAACGAGTGATTTGAGAATTATTTTTTGAAGTTAAGTGGATTTTATTTCTTATAGAGTTGCCACCAATCTTTTATGACATTTATAAATATACTTTTTAAATACCTCCCAGTCACAATTAAATTCCAATGAAATCCTTGAGAATAACATTTTTGCTGCAAAGCACTTTTCCACCATTACTTTTGCATTCATTTGTTGCATGTTGGCATTTATGCAACAAAAACTTTTAATCCTGCTGGTTAACTGTTGGATTTAGTTTTGCTGTGTATGGCCATTGAAGCAAACGATTGCTCAAAGTCACATCAAAGTCAAACTGAACGGTGGTAAAAAGAGTTAATAACGTTTCCGGTTGTGTATTGCAACGCTACAAATACGCTTACACATATGTATATATGTATACGAAATAGCTGTAATTTAATACATTCAATGAAATAAAATTGTTGCACTTTTATAAACTTTGAAGTGTTGAAAATAATATGTCATTGTGCTGTCTACCATTCTTCCATGCTCACTGTAATCTCTATTGTTTGTTGTTGTTGACGCTTGCGCTTGAGCACTAATCTTAGAGCGCTTGCAGTTATTATTTCTTTTAATATATTTATATACATATATCAATAACCTTAGACATCTTCTTGCCGTTTCTTTTGTGTCCTTGATCTTAACCCTTGATTGACTTGCTTTATTTGTCGGCTTCTCATGCAATCTACTATTGGCATGTTCTCTTGCAATATTTTACCGTACATACTTCAATTGTTCTTTTGTTGCTAACTTTATGACGGTGCTGGCCGTCAGTGTTATGGTTGCTGCTGTTGCTATTTTTGTGGTGTGGGCGCTTGTGGTGTTGGCGACGTCGTCTTAGCACTAGTAATACCTACATAACAATCGTCAAAGTTTTTCAATATCAAGTTCAAGTAAAAACAAAAATAAACACAATCATTGAACGTTTTGCTAACTAAGCGAATGTGGCGGGTAATGTGCGGGTGGAGGGACGGCAGTTAGATTAGCGCGTTGCAATGGCGATGTCAATGCATGTGTGTGGTGTGCCCGCCGGCATATGTACAAATGCATCGATGGAAGATTTTATGAAAGTAATCAGTTTTAAATGTTGAATTTAAAATTTGTAAATAAATTCGTTTTGGAGAAAATTGATTTTAGGAGTTTTTGGAGTGCTCCGTATTTAATGGTGACATGAAAGAAGTAAACCATTTGGCTCTGTTAGAGGAATCAAAACGACTTTTAAATATTTATTAATAACTAGAAGACCCCAGCCACGCGCTGCTGTGGCTAAGGTATAATTCAATTATATTGAGCAAGCAGTTTAATTTAATAAAATGCTATAATCAAAGCTAATTTCAGCAATTTTTTCTGTCTATATAGCTCGATTTAAATAATTATATTGTGCGACTGGGAAAATACGGGCAATTAATTAATTTTGTCCGTGTACAATAGCGCTGAAATTGGCTGGAAGTTTGGGGCATTTCGTATTTGGTTGCAGTTAGTATATGAAATCTAACTTCTATTCTGAAATCTAACTCATAGTATACATATTTTATTATTATTAAATACTTATGTTAAAATGAAATCATCACTGGTATTATTAATATTATATTACCGTCCATCGGTACATTTAATTGTGACGAGTAATTTTCAAAAATTAGTAAATTAGTGCGATAGAATTTAATTAAGTAACCACATTTCCGAACAAACGATGCTTTTTCAATAAAGTCTATGGCTGTGAATGACGATGACATTCTTTACGCGCGTTTTTTTGAAATATGCAAAATTAAATGTATTTTTTCAATCTTTCTGAGACATTTTCTTAATATTTTTTTCCGTAAGAACCTTCTACAGAGTATTAAAAAACTACAAAAAACAAAAAACCGCCAAATCGATCTTGCCATTCTCAAGTTATGGCGTGACAACGCGAAACTGGTTTCATTTATATATATATAGATTTCCATATATTCTTATATACATATATAAAATTTTTAGATGGAGAGGAAATTACTCATAGCATCAAGGCTAAGTCTACACCAAAAATTCAGAAGAGATTTCGCAGTTGCTGAAAAATGTATAGCTTCTACTAATCGATCAAACATGATCCGGACAGGTCCATTTAAACTACACGTGAATCTAATCGATATTATTGTTATGTTAATGACGATAACATAGAAAAAGTTTAGAAATTATCGTCGTGTATCAACAGAGAGTTAGCAGAGGATCTCAACATCTCTTATGAATCGAATCAACGCACTGTGGTTAATGTTTTGGGTATGAAGCATGTCAATGCTAAACTAGTACCAAAAGATCTGAATTTTTTGCAAAACAGCCAGCGAGTAGAGGTCGCAAAAGAGATGCTTCACAACGTAACTGAAGACCCTGCATTCATCACATGCATCCTTAATCAGTAATTACCATGGATTAGTTATTCAAAAATATAAAGTTGAAGAGTTTAATAATCGGAACGAGCTTAATTTTTTTATCTACCATAAGTTTTAGGTTTTCAACTATCCACGAAGAAAGTCTTCAGCTTTGGATTTAATATATGGATCATAGAGTCATAAACAAAAAAGGAGAAAGGATTTATTTATAATATTGTAAGTATTTAAGATTAACTGTTCGTTTCATTAATGACGTATTCCATCTTTCTAGTATACTCCAAATGTTGAATTAATACTTGAATCTATATCTCTGAGTTATTCTGGAGATTTGCGTACAGTTTAAAGACTGTTGAAGATCTGCAACATAGAGAAATATGGCTGAACTGCTGCATATCATTTCTACCCGTTCTTTTCTTTTGACTTTTAACATATGGTTTTGCCTAATCTGTTTGGTCATTTTGATGCTTCATCCATTTCATTTTCTTGAATTATTTACTTAAAAGGCAAGCACATAGAACTTTTATTTATTTAGAATGGTTAATATTGCTTAAGGTTCATTAATTGTTCTACATTTCTCTGCGAACAATTTCTTTCTCTGGCCACCTCTTTTCTGAGAAAATTTTACCGCCTACCCCAAGCTGTGCGCTTGCGTACTGAGAACACAAATTTTAATGCAAAAACATATTTAAGGTTGCCACACTATTAAATTTACATGTTGAGTAATTTTGAGTATTTTTTTTGGATAATTTTGAGTGTTCGAGGTTTTACGATTCTTTTTGCATATTTAATACCGATTCCGTTTCCACAAAATGTTTTTTAGCATATATACTTGTATCTTCTTGGTTACATAAATAAATGATATATTCTAGGTATAATGTATAATCGCCTTATTTAATCTAAGCAGTTCCTTAAAGCATCTATTTAAATCAAGGTAAAAATTGGGCACTTTGTAAATTCGCTGGCCATCTGGTACAATTCTTCAAGGAAATAATTTTTAAAGAACAACTTTTATGTACTCATTTTTCCGCAGCACTTCTTTGTAAATGAGGTAAAGGAAGCCAGGTTTTTGAAGAGTGACGTGATAAAAATCTCTTCAGTCATATAAAATCAGTTATTATACTTAAGTATTAACTATGAAAATTATCATTGGACTTCATAGCGTAAGCTATTTATCAAATTTAAACGATCAATTTTATTATTAATATTTTTTAAATTAATTTATTTGTTGTCAAATTTATGATTAATATTTTTTATTAATTTATTTTTTTTTTTTGTTAAATTTTTTTAATATATTTTCAGCTCTGGAAACATATCATCATTATCATATATTGTAGGCGTAGTACAATAAAACACCATATTTTTGTAATTTTATATGGTTTCAAAAACCTGGTAACTCCATGAGCAATGTAAACAACAACGCAACCAAACACACATACAAAGCAAATCGAGTGCAAAATTGTGTGAAATAAATTGAAAAAAAATGTACAACACAAATGTAATGAGAGCATACTCACCTAACCGGCAACCAAGAGCGCCGACAAAAACAAAACGCACAGCCGACAAACCACCAAATTGTATATACAAAAACAACAAAAGTGGTGAATGAAAGCAGCACAACGCCACTTTCTAGTTCAAGTTCAGCAGTGAAGCAATTACAAAAACAAATGTGAACAACAAAATGCGATAAATCATAAGAAAAAAGTGCGTTGAAAAGAGCACCGAACACGTGATGGCAGTGGCGCCAAAACCTGCCTCAACATTGTGCAGCGACAAGTGGAACGGTGTCGTCGTGATTATCGGCAGCCGCAGCGGTGGGCGCGGTGGGCGCTGTGGGTTCGGTTTGTCGGTGACAGTGCGTACAGAGATGAAATGCTATTATCAGTTATAATGAGTGAAATATGTAACAATAACGCTAGCGCTGTTCGGCAGGTAGGTATGTAGCCGGTGCAGCGCGACACTTTCGCCTTTAACAGTGCCCGAACTCTGCAAAAGTTAACAGCGCACTGCAAAGCGCCGACTGCAATTATGTTATAGCCACGCTTGTTGGATACTTATTCGGCAACACATTCAACAGAAGGTGTTATCATTTCACAGCGAATGGACGTATACGACGGAGCTGAAAAAAAAGTGCGCACATTTACCGTTTATAGGTGAGAGCGTTTAAGTAAATTTGAATTTGAATTTGTTGCTAGAGTGTAAGTATTTGTTTGTGTGAAACAGTTTATTCTGTATGCGCGCGACTCTCGTCTGTACTAACGGTAAATTTAAAAAGTAAACACATAAATATGAATTATTATACATTTTGGAAATTGAAAATAAGCAGGTGTGAGTGAATCAATTTACTGTTTTGTGTATAAATAAACAATGAGTAGCGGTGTAAAGCAAAAGTAAACAAAAGTGGCCAAATATCAACCAAAAAAAACAAAAATAAATTAATAAAACAGAAAAATTTTGCAATCAATAATAAACACAAGAAAAAAGGAAAATTGAAAAAAAGAACAAATTTTGTATATACAGATGTAAATACTTCCTATCTGTAGTTTTTGAATTTCATCTGCGTAGTGTCACAAATTTACAGCGGAAACTCTGAATTTTAAAACAAAAAAATTTTAAGTTTGTAAGTGTATGTGTGCTCCTTTAGCAGTGAATTTAAATAAAAGTGAGTTTATTTTTAAGATTAAGAAAAGTTAAAAAAAAACTATACAGTTTTCAATAAAAAATTTCAATTTAAAAAAGAAAAAAGCAGTTTTTTGATGTGAATATCTTGGAAAAATTAATTATTTTCATTGAAAAAACAAAAATATTTCATTGATAATAATTCTTTCAAAAATTATATATTAATTATTTTACTTTTACGAGTATTACAAGTAGAAAAATATTTCAAAACTTTTACTGTATGTAGAATTTCTAATAAAAAAGTTTCAACTTGGCAATAAAAAATAAACATTATTAGAAATAAATTTCTTGGAAAAACTAAATGTTAACTATTTTCATTGAAAAAAAAAAATTGTTTGCTAACACAATACGGCAAAAACCAAATTTTTCGAAAGTTTGAGTTCTTCGAAGAAGTCTGTTCCTTCAAGTTAGCCTCCAAACTATATTTGCTTAAAATACCCAGCCGAGTGGTGTACAGTGTAATAAGTTTTATGAAAAATCACATTTTAATTACTTTCATTGAAAAAAAATTGAATGAAAAACTTAAATATTTAGTATGTAAATCTCTGTATGAAGAAACCACACTGCCTTATGTACAAAAAAATTTTAATGAAAATATAATAGCTTCATCTCAATTTCTCCAATTGACTGATTTTCAATTGCAAGTCGTAAAAAGCATTAAACAAACTTTTTCAATCCGTTACAGTAAAACTTCGTTTACCGTAATTATTGGTTATCATTACAGTGCAAATTTTCAATGGTTAAAATTAAAAATATTTTTTATAAAGCACGTAATTGAAAGTATTATTTTATTTATTTTCATTGAAATTATTTTGGTATCACTTGAAAAAATTATCCCAAAAATGTTTTAAAAGTGAGAAGTGACATAGATTTGAAAAACCAAATATTAAAAAAAACAAATCATTTTATTTCTTGCAAATCTACCTTATATACAGTTCAATAGGAAAACAAACCCATCAAAAATATTTTAAAAAGTGAAAAGTGACATGAATTAGGAAAAAATAATTTACAAATATTTAATATTTTTTGGAAAATTTTGCATGCTTTGAGGCGAAAAATTTTAATTTTTCAAATGTACCATATTTATAGTGAAAAGTGACATGAAATTGCAAAAATATAATTTAAAAATATTTTTTTTTTTGGGAAAATTTTGCATACTTTTAGACGAAAAATTTTTTTTTTCTTACTATTAAATCTACCTTATGTACAGTCCTATTGGAAAAACTCCAGAAAAAATATTGTAAAAAGCGAAAAAGGACATTAAAATAGAAAAAAGTTATTTAAAAATATTTAATTTATTTTTTGAAATTTTTGCTTGCTTTTAGGCGAAAAGAAAATTGTTTTATTACATTGAAAGTTACCTTATATGAATATACTTCGCAAACGGTTAATGAAATCACTAAAAAGTTATTCAGTTTGTACTCACTTTGACTCTCTGAGCTGTATTGAGTAGATTACTCAGGATATAAAATATATTTAATAAAATATTAAGATTTAAATTCTTATTATTAAATACATTATTTTATTTCAAGATATTAAGTTTTTTTTAAACTCTACACAGAGTAAAGAAAAAATCTATTATTACAGAAAAAAATATATTGCCATACATACATATATGGAATTTAGTAAATAAATGTCCTTTTCTGTAGCAATTGGTGATCATTTTATATATTTATACAAATATATAATATATTGTTCTAATGCAAATGCCTAAAACTAAGTCAGGTCTGATTTTTTTAATGTTTTAAATTTAATTTAAAAATATTTTTTATTTTATATTTTATAGAAGTGGAGTTCGATATTCAACGTACAAAAAAATAGAAAATATATTTTGTGAAAACGAACAATAAATATACCAAAAAAAACCTTAAAGACGCTCAAGAGAGTACTATCAGAAATAGGAAGGTTGAACAACAAAAGTCAAAGGGGAAATAAGCACCTCAAAATAAACGGAGCTGAAAGTAAAAAAGCGTGTACTACTTGTATGTAGCAAAACAGGCAGTATAAATGCAAAGTGTACAAAAAACCGAATAATAAATAAATATAAAATAAAAATGTATAACAAAAAACCACTCGAATAATAAGCTGCTATAAGCTTTTGTGCAACAAAAAAAAAAAAATTATGGCATACAAAAAAATTAAAAAAGCTACCCTTTCAGCTTTTTAAATCGCTTTTAAAACTGCAGCATTGCCTGCTTTAAGGCGCACGTTACAATAATAATAAATACTTAATAGCTTACGCCCCTCTCAAAAAGCGCTTTATAATGCATTAAGAATATTGAGCGTTTAAAGTTACAAAAATAAAAAAAGTAAACTGTCGCAGCGAATAACTGTAAGCGGCGAAGTAAAACTTTTGGACAAAGTTAAAGTTTGTGAAGCATTAAAGAGTTCAGCAGAGCATGGTATAAGAGTTGGCGACAGCAGTGAGCAAAAGTGTAGAAGTATATATGAGGCATATAGTGACCAGTGGAAAGTGAAAAGTGAAAGAAAAAGTGCGAAAAAGTGAAAGTGAAAAGTGAGATAAGTGAGTATCGAATTAAGGTCAAAGTTCAAAATGTGGAAATAAAATAAAGGAATAGAAAAAGCAAAGATTTCTAAAAGTGTCAAAGTGTCTACAGAAAATGCTTTTGCAATATTGCTCAATAAATATCGCCAAAAATTGAGCATTGAAAGTTTGCTGTGCTTCAAAACAAATATCTAATACGAATTCAATATCAGCTCATGAATGTTGACTTACTTATTTTAAGCAACAAATCCAAGTAAACTTCACTGCAAATCCCTTTTGCCGACACACAAAGCACATAAGCATCAATAGCAATAATAAAAGTAATCCAAATAAAATAGCAAGTAAAATTGTAAGTGAAAAAGACACTGCATGATAAACCACTGATCCTGTGTATGTTAACTGCTTGTAAACAAGCTTACGGCATTACGCGGCGCGTCTGCAGAAGCAGCAGCAGTTGCAGTAAAGGACATTCGGCACGAACAAATTTAGAAATTTAGTGTGTCTCGCTTTAAAGATTCGCCTTTATTTGCCGAAAACATAGAAGGTAAGTGAGTTGCATGACTTTCTATGTGTTTATGTTATTAAATATATGTAAGTGTGTGTTAGGGATGTAATTTGACAAAATCACTCATTGATTGATGATTCACATCGTTAAATATGGGGAACTTCCAATATTAAGTAATCAATGAAGGCAGCAAGAATTAATGGTTTTGTTTTTAGTTGTGATTCTTGACCCAACAATCTACAGATAAAACAAGAAAAAACGTTAAGCTCGGCTGTACCGAAGCTTAATACCCCTCACAACTGCATTTCTTATATCATAAAGAGGTATTAATTATCTTTATCTCGTTTTTGATGGGTCAGTTTGTATGATAGTAGTCCGATCTAAATAATATGTGGTCCAATATCGGCGGTCTCGACAAACGCAGCTTGTTTGAAAAGAAACGGACGTACGTAAAATTTCAGATCGATATCTTAAAACTCCGCGTATATACAGACAAACGGACGGACATGGTTTAATCCACATAGCTCGTTATGATGATCATTTATATAGGTATACATACATATATATTGTAGTTTATAGAGTCTCGACGTTTTCTTTTGGGTGTTACAACCTTCGTGGCAAGCTTAATTAATATTGTTCGGGGCATAAATATTTTTTAAATATTTACATATATATTTCTTTAAGAAAATAAACGACGAAACTGTATTTGTGATAGAAATAGAGTTCTATGCATACAAATTTGTTTACAAACTGATTGGCTACGATTTTTTGGTGATGCGTTCCATTATTCACCGATTCTCAAAGTAGTTTCATAGTATATCTTTTTAAAACTCTCCATTGCATCATGTCAGAACTTTTTAAAGCACTTTTTTAGTTCTGCAGCAAAATTGCTTCTATTGATTCCATTTATATATAATTTTTTTTTGGAGTTATTCTTCGAGGTCTACTGTGAATTTCTTCAACTAGTCTCAGAAAGCGTCTTTCGGGAACACTCCACTTGATTATGCCAGACAAAATGTTTTAAGTTTTGAAACTATTTGATACTTATCCTTAATAAAAATTTTGATAATTGAATTTTATTGTGCAAATTCCAATTCTAATTCTGGCCACCTTTTTTATATTGCATATAATTTAATATTTTTTAAAATAAAATTGCATATATCTTAATTTTTCTTAAATGAATGATATGAATTTTAATTTATCAAGAATATTTCTATAATATTTACATCTTTACTTTTTTGCTTAAGTAACTTTCTTTAGTAGAGATGGCTTGAGATATTTTCTGTTATTGATTAACCTACAAGTATTTCAGAAGTACTTTGTATGAGATTTATTTAATTTTATAAGACCTTATATCACAAAATAAAACATTTTGACAATTTAGAGTACAGTTTCTGGTACTATAACTGGTAACCTTTTCATGTTACAGTTTCTGAACTTCAAATTGTGCTCCTTATTCTTAAAAAGACTTTACGGTTCCCTTTATAATGCACTTGGTATACTCCCTTATGGTACTCTCACTTAATAAATAAACACATTTTTTTTTACTGGCATTTAAAAAAGTTATATTTGGAATATAGCGATCTTGGAAGTGGAATTATTTGCCAAAATGAAAGCTACAAATGAAGACTGCTTCAAATATTGATATTTAAAGGCAATATGCCATTGATTAATAGCTCTACAAGTAAGTGACAAATACAATCCTTAATTTGCTATTTTTGCTTACAACACTGAGTTGCCCTATACGATACTATGTGTTCAGTCTTAATTTTTTCAAACATTCTGATCAAATTTGACCCGGACTAGTCCATTTAAATGGCGCGTGAAAATAAAATTGAGTTTTCCTAGATTTCGGTTCTTGCAAAGTATGATCGCCATATGTCATTTAGTGTCATATTTCTTTACGATGCGTACATTTTGTTTGGCGATTTTTTTCATCAAAAATCGCGGTTACGAAATCGTTGAAAATGTTGCATAAATATTTTAGTGAGACTACTTTAACGCGAATATAAATTTTTAAGTGGCATAAAGCATTACTGATGGTCGGGAAGTCATTGCCTCAGCCAAGTTGTCCATTCATCTCTGACGATAACATCGAAAAAGTTAAAGAAATAGTATTTGAAAATTGTCATGTTGGCAACAGAGAGATAGCAGAGGACCTCAACATATCTTATGAATCGACTCAACATATTTTGGTTAACATTTTGGGTATGAAGCGTGTCAATGCTAGACTCGTACCAAAAAAACTGAATCTTTTACAAAAACTAAGTCGGGTAGAGGTCGCAAAAGAGATAAGCATTCCTTAAGCAACGTAGCTGAGGACCTGCATTCAACAAAGACATAATTACTGGTGACGGTTATACTACCGGTTAGTGTATGGGAAATTAGATAAAGCGTTGGCATGCTTGTATTCGCTCAGAAGCCTATTTTGAAGGCTGTAATAAAGTCTTTAGTATTAAAAAGAACGAAATTCAATTCCTTGTAGAATAAATTGTGAATTTTTGACCTTTTTTTAGTTCTATACTGGCCTAAGTTTGTCATCAAAATATACGCGTAAGACTATATTTCTGATTTTTTGTAAAATTCCGTTGATTTTAGTATTATTTCGTATTATAAAAATCTGTTATTTCCATTTTTTATTCTGTATTATATTTTTTTTCGCTTGGATATCGAAGTCAATAGCAAAAAATATAGTGCATATATTTTGCTCATTTTTCCTTGAGAATATTTTTCTTATTTTATAACCTTCATTTTATTGTACTTACCTCAACAACAAGTCACACTTAATGTGCGCTGCTGTAATAATATGTATTCGGCCGTGAAAAGATCTGGTAGTCAACATATCGAAAAAAATGATGTCATAAAATAGTGTTATTACATGTACGTTTGGGACAATTTTTGAATTTCAAATTGGTACATTACTTAACGAGGTACGATAACGACACCCATTACGAGTAGTTGCATAAATGAAGAGATGCTTATAAAAAAGGGAACTTGAAAAAAAAAACGCACGAAAATTGCTTATACTCCGGTTAATAATGTACATGAGTCCATACGTGTATGAGTGTGTGCTTATACTTGTATTATATATGTGTGTTTGTGTTGTTGCATAAATTGTATTGCTGAAATTCGATAGCATTTTTGTTAAACGCGAATTTGTAAGAAACGCAATGAACCGCATGGCAGCCATAATAAATTGCGCAGCTAAAGATTTACAATGCTGATGAGTACTTACCTCAATGTAATTTAACAGATGGTCCAGGAAAAAGTTAGCATGTGTTTGTATGTGTGAGCGATTGTAGAGCACTTTTATTTTTATGACAAAATAGTAATAAAGTACGAAGCAAAGAGAGCAAAAAAGTAATGTGCGTAGATAAAAGGTATACATGTAAAAACTGTTGCGTGCTTTTAGGCGCTTTAAGTAGTTTTTTATCCAATATCACCGTATATGTAGGCATTGGATTTTTTTGAGTACGGTAATAGGCGATAATATGTGAAACAAGTTATGGTTTTTTTTGTTAAATAAAATAAAAATAAGGGTAAAACACTCAAAACAAAAAAGCTGAGTAGGCAAAAATAAAATAATAAACGTAACTAAAATAAGCTACAAACATATTTCAAATTGAAATTGTAATTTGTGTGTTTAAAAATAAACACTTCACTTTTAAAAATCACTCCTTTCGCTTAAAAAAGGGCACTTGCACCTAAAAGTATACTGCAACTTGAAAACTTGAAATTTTGCCCCTTTGTGCTGCAATGTTAACAACAAATGTCAAGTGTGCAGGTTTCATTGAAAATAAAGTTGGCTTCGAGCTATCAATTTGCGATCTTCATGACTCTGCAATATCGGTGCGATTGAAATAACAAAGCAATGCTCATGAAATTGAAAATTTCGCCAATAAGACATAGGTACGTACATCCCCAGGAGCGTGCTTGGCAAAGGCAAAACAAAAAAAATCAATCAGTGCTGTGCAAAATGCAGGACACTGCTGAGTTGTGAATAAATTAAATTTTTTTTCTATTTTAGGCTTGGTTTGAATGAATATAAATTGAGGCATCTGTTTTTGTGACAGTAAAAGGCTGTTGATTTTTGCTTCTTGGGTTATATTAAAATTTATTTACGAAGCGCTGAATAAAGTGAAATGAGCAATTCAAGCTTGCAATTGTTGGGTATGAATGTGGAGAATTTATTATTAAAATGAGTCCAAATATTTGTAATAGACAATAGTATGGATAGATTGTAGCTATTTTTAGAAAACTATCTCTTTATTTAGGACTGTAGGACCATCAAAAATTACTTAACTTTGACGATTTGTTCTGGAAGTAAAACAAATGCAATTGAACCATATCTATTTCAGACATTATTAAACATGTGCATGTACCATGTGATCAAATATAACCCGGACTGACAGAAAAAACTTTAAAGTCACCTTCAAAATAGGCTTCTGAGCCAATAAAAGCCTGTATCAAGCATTAACGAAAAAGTGTTCCATAAGAGATATTGAGATCCTGTTCTATCTATCGATCTAGGAAAAAAGATTAATTTGACCAGATGGTATATTTCGAAAACAACATGCGTTTAGATTTTTTCGTGTCGAGGCAGACTGACCAGAAGGTTGTATCAATCTAAGAAAAAAGAATAAATGGGTCTGTCCGGGCTGTGATCAGATGATATATTTCGAAAAAAATGCCTTTAAAGTTTCTCTTGCTGAGCCTGAATGACCTCGTAAAATTAACAGCGTAAAATATTTGCGCTTTACTACCAATTGAACACTGTTTTCAGAAGCCTAAAGCAGAAAAAAAATTCAATTTTTTCAGCCAAGCATTTAAAGATAATCTACTTAATGGGTTTCCCTTCTGCAACTTATTTAGTTTAATAAGGTGCCCTGCGACCTTATACTATAATATAATGACTTTATATTTATAGCATCTATAACAATATTAAAACTATTTACGCTTGTGCCAGGAGCTTATCTCTTTCAATATTTAGCAGTATTTGCATATATTTCATTTGTTTTTCTTTTCAGCTGTAATTCTCA